ATCCCTTAGTGAAGAAATACTTCTCTCTTTAGGAATTATTTGATTTACCTGACATTTTGGACAAGTGAAGATGCCGCTGTGTCTTGGCAAGTGACGTCCACATTGAAGGCACGGTTTACATTCACTCCTGTATCGAAAAGAATAGGTTATTTATGTTAATCATATTCATATACAAGTGTATCTAGTACCACTGCAACAGCGATGGCATCATCAGTATCTAAATGATAATGGTAATAATGACGTCATGAGAAAATGATAATAACAGTGATAATGGATTAAAATTATTGTTCTTATCATTACTATTACTAGTATTCCGTTTTTATTCGTTACCTTTGTATCATTATAATTAGTATTATCTTAATGCAACTACTTGATTATCTTAAGCGCTTCCTATTCTCTATGTACATGAACGTTTTTTTTTCTTTTAGCGATGTAGTCCCCCTCCACTTCTACAGTTCCGATCCCTGCGTCCTCGTTCTGGCGACGGCTTCGGAAGCAAGAGTCGAAACTGGTGGTCGAACACACTCACATTGTTGTGCGGTGAACTTCGGTGAAACGATTGTACTTTTGGCCTTTCTCTCTCTCTCTCTCTCTCTCTCTCTCTCTCTCTCTCTCTCTCTCTCTCTCTCTCTCTCTCTCTCTCTCTCTCTCTCTCTCTCTCTCTCTCTGCGTTTTATGAAGAAAATATCTTTACAGATATCTACAAATGGGAAGAATTTTACTAAATATAAGTACATTTCCGTATATAAAAGACATGACGAGATTGATATTTGCACAAACATACACACCTTCGGTACGGCATGGCCATGGTTGAAAAGTGCACCTGGAAAGGATGTTTTAATTGTGAGAACTCTGTAGATAGATTAGATAACTAGTTTATGCAATATTTTCATATGATTCCTTAATGGACAATTTATTGATTAGACTAAAAGTCACATGATATTTGAGCTGATTTGGATATGCATATTGTTCATTTTCTTATATTTTCTTATTGATGAATAACACGAACTTACCAATCCAGCGAAAAGCAAAATGACAACCAGCGTTCTCATATTGCTATTCTATTCACCAAAATATGCAAATAAAACAGAAACTTCGGGAAAAAGGGAAACTCGTCGTGTATGACTCTCCCTCAGAAAGGCGGTCGGAAGACTGAGTGAGACTATGCCTACGAAAGCCTTATATCAGACGAGGAGCTGAAGGATCTTCCTTGCTCGTGACGCAGGCCGGACTTCCTGTCCCGAAGGCATTATCTGCCAGACAGCCTCGAAAGGTTAGCCTCGAAATATATTGATAAGAAGTACACGCACGCACACGTACACATCCACACACATCCACACACACACACACACACACGCACACACACACACACACACACGTACGTTCATACGCTTGTGTGATGCACAAAAGAGTTATCTTTATTTAAAGCAGTTATTGTAACAATTTTAAAACTGTATTATTAACTTCCTTCTTTTTTCTCTTCCCTTATACTTTATTCCTCCCTCCCATAATCCTCCCTTCCTTTCTCGTTTTCCTCTATTTCTTCATCTACTTCCCTTCCGCCCCACATCACTCCCATCTGGCGGCCGACTTTATCAGTACATGGAAAACCTCACGTCGCTTCCCTGATCTTCTGCTCAGAGTTCCAACGTCGAAATGTCAGCCAGATATGACAGGACGCTCTTCTTGATAACCAAGAATTCGTGGTTCTTCAGAAATTTGATAAGTATTTTATCTTGGTTGATGCAGTGTTCTTTCTTTGTGATATTTCAGGTGCTAGTTAGAATTAGGCTAAATCGAAACTGTAGGTTAATTAGAAAGTGGTATCGTGGGTAAATATATACTAGTGTGTATGCAGAATAATAGATAATTCATAGACATGATTGGTCATACCCGGATGTGGACGTAGATAAAGTCACTTTTGCTATGTCACGCATGTACACATCTACACACATGCACTCAACAGACATAGACACAGAGTCATGTGCTCATAAATACCGACACTGTCTCATTTTCCCTTCCTTCATCCATTTTTCTAGTCCAACCATTTTTGTTCTGTTTTTGTCTTCAATTACATTTTTATTGTCTTTTATTCCAACCTCTGGCCGACATTTTGCCATTCTTATGTCTTAAATGTAAACTATCTTTCCGTGAATGAAGCTTCGAACCCTTCCAACCCAAACGTCACGGTTCAGGGATTTGAAACATATTTTACAAGAGTTTAGCTGCAACGTTACAGTTTCCTCTTCCTCCAGAAATGCCAGGTAACGTTGCCAATGCGGGAAACGCCAACTTCGACTCTTGTATCCGAAACACTCACTCCCTACTTTGTTTCGAATACAAGAATTGAAACAGATGCTCCACACATTGGCAACGCACTCACTCCCTACTTGTATTGGCATGTTTCGAATACAAAAATTGAAACAGGTGGTCCACACATTGGCATTGAGTGGTGAAGGTGGTAGTGGAAGATGCAATACGAACAAAAAAAATCTAATCAATACTTAAGAATATCTAATATCTCCCAAGAAAGAGGCTAAATAACACGGTATTCGATGCAACTAAATTTATTATATACAATACAACAATTTACATCATTTATATACATAACACAATCTTCCATTATCTCGTTCACTTAATTCATACTTAAAGCACAAAATCAACATTAGAAGGAAAGACCCACTATAGGCCTATCTACCTTCAAACACAAGAATAAAAAACAATTTACAAAAGAATACACTGGTATATGTCCTGATAATGCCTAGAAATATTTTCTCTCGTAACATCCAAGACTTATTTCTAAATATAAAAGCACCCTTACAAACAGGGTTGTCAAAAACAAACACACAACAAAATATCAAGAATTGCAATACACTGAAACAAAGAAAAATAATGCACACGCACAAGCAAAGAAATGGTTAAGAAATGTATACACAGAGTGACTGGCTCAACCCATACATTTTTTTTTAATAAAGATAAGGGTGTTCAATGTATTAATTTCACACTTTATCGAGCTGTTGAGCAATGCACATCATTTTCGTGAATAAGGCACATTTCACAATCATTACTACCACTATTATCAACCTTATCATATATTCAGAAAAAGATCCTTCCACTGTAGACACATTCTAAAGTCAGTTCACTTTTGTCTTTCAGTGTTTATTGCTTTGGTTAACAGTTTGTTTTGTGAGAAACTTGGTTTGTGACAACTTGGTGTGATTAATTTCACTGTATTTCATTCTGCTTCACTGTGCATTCTCATAAGTAATCACAGTTCATAATATATGTATGTATATATATATATATATATATATATATATTATATATATATATATATATATTATATATATATATATATATAGATAGATATGTAACTTCATCAATCTAGCACACCAGGAAAGTTTACATATATTCTTTTCTGGAATTATAAAGGAAAGAAAACCAAGACCAGAAAATTCATTAATCACTTATCACAGGTATAATTTACGACTAATACACTATCAACATTTTTGTGACAAAAATTCTAAATTTCCAAATATCTGCAGGAACAAAATGAAAAAAAAAACTTTCATTAATGCAATTATTCACCCTTTTTTGTGATGAAAAAAAATATTTACAACTCATCATATATATCTATAAAACACAAAATATCGTTATCTACAGAAATGATAATGTGATACAAACCATTCACGCATTAATATTATCAGGTATTTCTTTGATAGAATTATGAATACAAGATATACATTAATTACAAAACTCCTAGATAGAAATGGGAACACGGCGCAACCATGTCCCTTTCTCGTCTTATGAAATGTATATACATCTTTTAAGCTTGAAACATCTGCTCTAAGAAACAGAAAGACTGACATCCCAGACATCAGGAAGTCCATACATTAACAATCAGTCTGAGGTAAATTGATATACCAGGAAAATTATTTATATATGTATTGCCTCTATAACTCCCTGTGGGAAGTTAGAATATGACTTGCATCTCTTTCCTTTGAGAAGAATAAGAAAAAGACAAAGAAAAAATCGTTTTTCGTATGACCTAATTGAAAAGAAATATTGCAACTTGGTACGTTTTTGTTCACTTTTAACTGGTATGATTTCCATGGCACCAATAGTACTACCAGTAAACCCTCATCCTGAAACGTATATAAAAGAGGAAGAATATACATACATACAAATATACGTACATATATATATATATATATATATATATATATATATATATATATATATATATATATATATATATATATATATATATATATATTATATATAATATATATATATGTATGTATATGCATACAAACACACCGTGTATGTTACAAGTTCAGAAAAAATAAGGAACTATGTGGGACACATAACATAAAAGTTGTTTGGTATCTTAAATGAGGATTTAAACACAAACAAAGGCTGGCATCAGAAGTCTGATGACATTCAAGTCTTAAAAGCTCATTACCCACTGTGTTAAGTATTTCATCATGTCGAGACAGCCTCTTCGACGTGAGTCTCGTCACTCTCAACACCATGACTGACTGGGACTGTGGTCGAGATCGACAGTCGAGGCTGACGTCATCCCGCTGACGGCTGACAAGCCTGACAGTCCACTAAGCCGGTGGCTGTCCAGTTCCGCTTGCAGGTCGCCGTCTCTTTTGATTCTCATGTTCACGCCGTTGATCTTCTCCAAGTCTGCGGCCTCTGTGACTTCGTCCATCAGCTTCAGCTCCGCCCCGGCGGACATGTTGACGTACGAGTTGTCGGCCTGCGCGGGGCTGAAGCCGGCGTCGAGCTCCTCCTCGTTCTCGGACGAGCCCGAGCGGGAGGGCCCCGCGAACACCTTATTGCTGGAGGGCCTGAGGTAGTGCTGCGGCGACACGACGCCCTGCAAGCTGGGCAGAGGGAAGGTGAAGGTGACGCTGGTGGGCGACTCAGGCACCGGCGACGCATGGCTTGTGCCCGGCGGCGAAGACGAAGGGGGCGCCTGGGCAGCAGCGATGAGGCTGGCCGACGACGGAGGAGCCTCGGCGGACGACGAGAACCTTGGCCAGTCCGAGGACGCCTCGCTCCGAGGGGACACGGGCGGCGACGTGGGCGAGGGCTCGTTCACCAGCTGCAGGTACTGCTGGTGCCTCCTCAGCGGGGCCGTCAGAGGCAGCGTGCTCGCGCCCGAGAAGGAGTCGCACTCCTCGGCCTCGCCTACCAGGACCCGGTCCTCGGGGCCGCTGCCTCTCCTTGGGCCCAGGTTGGCCATGCTGCTGCTCGTCTGCGTGGACCACGAGTTGGTGGCGGAGCAGCCGTTGGCGCTCACCAGGGAATTGCCTGCGGAGACGCCGGCAACGGCTTTAGGACAAGGACCTCTTGGCTATCTAATATAGCAAGCATCAAACATTCATGTGAATATTATGAAACGATATAACAACTCTTAGGTCAATGACGCAAATGAAATGAAATTTCCATTCTACCATGACAAATAAAAAAGTTATACAACACGAATACACACAAAAAATTAAGAGAGGGTCTTTTAGGTAAGCTGAAAACAATGAAATTCATCCCACCTGAATTGGTATTGTGGTTCTCATCTCGATCTACAGCATAAGCCAGGTTATCTAAGCCATATGGACCTAGAATTTCGAACACAAGAGAAAAAAGAAAATACAAGCTTTAGCATTATGTCGGCGGAGGCATTCATCATCACACATCGAGTCATGTTTTATTTTTTATTTTTGCAATCTGTCCGTGCATTTGGGTTCGTGTTAAAAGAATAATTAGTTTATTAATCATAAAACCAAAAATGATCAGATGAAGAGCTCGTAACATAAATCATTGTCAGTGAAAATGCAAAAGTATGTAGATATTACATGCTAAAAGTTGAAGCCATCATCTCCATTCATGAAGCAGCAAATATAAAACTGAACTTAAAAAATCAGTATTTCTTAGCCATGCAGTATTTCTATTCCACATGATTATATATATATATATATATATATATATATATATATATATATATATATATATATATGTAGATATATATAAATTTATATTTATATACACAAAAATACACTCAAAATGCATATATCATTTTTGTAAAATAATGCTAGACAAGAGTTATAAGCACACCAGCAAAGCAAATAAATAAATTAAAACAAAATCAATCACTCAAAACATAAAAACGAATTATAATTATTCCACAGCATCGACCATGAACAAATCACGTAAAATGCACAGCATATTAGTACCAGACAAAAAAAAAAAAAATCTTGCCAGCAACCACTCACCATTGGACCCAATGTAGTGGACGTTGTGAACGGCGAGGGCAGGCAAGGCCGAAATGGTCTCCTCCAACATAAGCAAAGTGCTCAGGCATTCTTTGAACGTCGGTCTGTTTTCTGGGCTGTAACTCCAGCATCTTTCCATCAGTTTATGCCTGTGGGATTCGCAGACAAATTACGGTCTCAAGAAAATGAATTATGCGGTGACATCTAAGAGTTAAAAAGGGTTACAAAGTACAAATATGGTCTGATAACTGAAATATACAGTGTATCTTATAACAACAGTGCGAATGTGCAGTAATGGTCTAATTTGCATGCATTATTATTTGCGTGAAGGTTTTATCACTCTTTAAGCATAATTGATGTGTACCATAGTCCGATAAAGGATTAGGAGACTTATCCTAATTATATGAAAAAAATTAAACAATAATAATAAGAAAGGGTAGAAAGAGGAGGAGGAAAATAAGGAGGAGAAGGAGGGAGAGAAAAATAAAAAGAAGGATGAGGGGTGGGGAGGAGGAGGAGAATAAGGAGGAGGAGGGAGAGCAAAATAAAAATAAAAAGAAGGATGAGGGAGGGGAGGAGGAGGAGGAGGAGGAGAATAAATAGGAGGAAGAGAAAAAGAAAAAGAAGAAAGAAAAGGATTAAGAGAATGAGAATTTTTTTTACCCTCGACACGAAACATCAATAACAATGAATACTCACAGTTCCTCGGGGCAATAAGGAGGAGAAGGAGGGAGAGAAAAAGAAAAAGAAAAAGAAAAAGAAGGATGAGGGGAGGGGAGGAGGAGGAGAATAAATAGAAGGAGGAAGAGAAAAAAGAAAAAGAAGAAAGAAAAGGATTAAGAGAATGAGAAAATTTTTACCCTCGACACGAAACATCAATAACAATGAATACTCACAGTTCCTCGGGGCAATAAGGAGGAGAAGGAGGGGGAGAAAAAGAAAAAGAAGGATGAGGGAGAGGAGGAGGAGAATAAATAGAAGGAGGAAGAGAAAAAGAAAAAAGAAGAATAAAAAGGATTAAGAGAATGAGAAAAATTCTACCCTCGACACGAAACATCAATAACAACGAATACTCACAGTTCCTCGGGGCAGTTTGGAGGCCTGTTCAGACGTCCTCCGCTGCGGACGTAGTGAAGGACCTCCAGGTTGGTCCGCGCAGGATACGGCTGTTGCCCCAGCGTCAGGATCTCCCACAGAAGGACACCGAAAGCCCAGACGTCAGAGTGGCTGGTGAACACGCCGTCAACTAAGGACTCGGGGGACATCCACCTCACCGGTAAGAGTCCTTCGCCCTAGAGGAAAAGAAGGAGTTTGAGTTTAAGGGAGTTTGTAAGTCTGAGTCACTCTCTTTGTCCTATCCACCCCTCTCTCTTTCTCTATCTCCCTCGCTTTCTACCTCTCCCTCTCCTTCTCCATATCTCTCTTTCTCTCTCTCTCGTCTGAGTCACTCTCTTTGTCCTATCCACCCCTCTCTCTTTCTCTATCTCCCTCTCTTTCTACCTCTCCCTCTCCTTCTCCATATCTCTCTTTCTCTCTCTCTCTCTCTTTTCCTCCCTTTCTCTCCTCCCCCTCTTTCTCTGTCTCGTTGAATTAATGAAATGACGTCACAGCCATTTGAAGGGGGAGGGAAGGAAAATATAATATATACATGCAAGATTGGGAATATAACGAACCTTTTCCTCCTCTTTCAAAGACACAGGACAAATTTCGATGACGGCTTCATATAACGACGTTCATTTCCTTTTTTTTAAATTTTCATTTCCTTTTTTTTGATATTTTTCTTTTTTGTTCCCTTTTGTCTCCTTCTCATGTTTCCTCCCTCCCTCCTTCCCTCCCTCTCATCCCCCTCCCTCCTTGAAATGAAACCCACTCAAGTTCAAACATCATGTTCCCTCCCTCCCCCCCTCCCCCCCATCTCCCCCTTTTTTTATATTTTCCTTTCCCCTTTTTAATTCGATCTTTTTCCTTTCTTTTTGTGTGTGTTCCTCTGAGCTCTAGCGGCCCCTTACCTCCTTCCTGTAGTAGTCGTTCTTGTAGATGTCCCTCGCCAGACCGAAATCTCCGATCTTGACTATGCGGGATTCGGGGTCAGTGGTGGACACGAGGCAGTTCCGAGCGGCCAGGTCACGGTGGACGTAATGCATCTCCTCGAGGTACACGCAGCCCTTGGCGACGTCCACGCACATCGCCACAAGGTCAGCTAAGGTCAAGCCGCATTCGGCCTTTGAGAGGGAAAAAAAGCTTGTTAGAAAAAAAAAAATCGATAATGAGTATAGTGAGGAATTGAATAGACATTTTAATTGAGAAAACAATATAATAATAATAATAATAATATTAAAAACAACCTCTTTGGCGGAGGTAATGATAATAATGATAATAACAACAACAACAAACAACAACAATAATAATATAATAATAATAATAATAATAACAACACCACCGAAGATAAAAAAAACCCCCCCCCCAAAAAAAAAAAAAAAAAAAAAAAACACGTACCCCTCGACTCGTGCGCAGGTAGGACAGCAGGTCGCCGCCCTCCATCAGCTCCAGAATGAGGAAGAAGGGGTCGTGGTCAGTGCAGACGGCGAGCAGGCGGAGGATATGCTCGTGCTGGAAGTGACTCATCAGCTGAGCCTCCTTCAGGAACTCTGTTTTCTCGGCCTCCGTGGCGCCCTTGCGGAGAGTCTGCGGAGGGGGGGGGGTTGTGATATCGGTGATGATGGTGGTGATGATGGTGGTGATGATAATGATGATGATAATAATAATAATAATAAATAATAATAATAATAATAATAATATAATGATAATAAAATAATAATTAATAATATAATGATAATAACAATAATAATGATAATAGTAATAACAATAACAGCAATAACAAAAATAATAAAAGTAATAACAATAATAATAATAATCATCATCATCATAATAATAATAATGATAATAACAATAAGGATAATAATAATAATAGTAATAACAACAACAACAATAATAATGATAATAATAATAATAATAATAATAATAATGATAATAAATTATAGGAAAGGGGAAAATGAGCAAGATTCCTGTGTTCGAAACCATATGTAAGATTTTCAAGCCATGAACTTAAAGAACCAGAACATACCCATAATTTCAGAACAGATCACCAACACACCTAACAATAACAAAACTTCCCAGTAACGAACAACGAAAAACGAATAAACAAACAACCAAACCAACCTTAATAGCCACTTTGGTGACTTCCGGCAACCCTGGCAGCTCGCAGGCGGTCCCTTCGAACACTTCGCCAAAAGCTCCACTTCCCAGGAATTTGGTCAGTGTGATGCAGTGGCGGGACACGTGTGGGAGGTCCAAGTCGTCGCCTGAAAAAGAGAGAAAAAAAATGCATTGTCTGTCCTTTTTTTTTTTTGAAGATTTAAAGACGTTGGATTGGAAATAGATTGTGATAGCTTTTTTTTGCACTTCGATTTCGCATCTGAATTTCGAAAACGGGTGCTTTTGAGAAAGAGAGAGAGAGAGGAGAGGGAGAGGGAGAGGAGAGGAGAGGGAGAGGAGAGAGGGAGAGGGAGGAAGAGAGGGAGGAGAGAGGAAGAGAGAGAGAGAGAAGAGAGAGAGAGAGAGAGGAGAGGAGAGAGAGGAGAGGGAGAGAGGAGGGAGAGGAGAGAGAGAGGGAGAGGAGAGAGAGAGAGAGAGAGAGAGAGAGAGAGAGAAGAGAGAGAGAGAGAGAGAGGAGAGAGAGAGAAGAGAGAGAGAGAGAGAGAGACAAAGAAAACAATCTCAGAACATCCACAACTCCCCTCAACTCACCAGGGAAAGTGTGAAGGTTGTAGAGCACGTTGTTCTCCGTCACGAAGTTGTTGTTGGTGGGGAGTTGGCGGAGCGTGGCCAGCTCGACCTCTCTGTTCCTCAGGTGGTGATGGTGAGGGTGTGATGACTCGCTCACCGACACGGCCTTCACTTTTCTCCTCCTCTCGGCTCTCTTCATCCCTTCGAATCGATGCGGTTTGGTTAGTGTGGTCATGAGGCGTGAAGCAAAACGATTTTTTTTTTCGAGAAGTGTGTACACATATTCATTACTCTTTCACAATGTTGTCTTGGATATTAGGCAATAGTATGTGGCAGGAATGGTGCCTTATGAGACAATCATCATTACTGTATGGCATAGGATCTAAACCAAACTTTTGGTTTTTTTCCCAATTTACGATCTATTTCCCACTCGTCCGAAACCGTGAACGAAGCCACCGACGCGGATTCGACTCACCATAAACCAGACAGAACAGCAAGAAGGCGATGAAGACGAAAGAGGTAGGAATGGTGGAAGCGAGGATTGTGGGCAGGTCTGTCTGGGGCAACATTTTGGGGCCGATCACGGTGTCGATGACGTTCTCCTTGCCCCACGGCCCCACCCCGAGTTCGTTGATGGCCCGGGCGCGGAAGATGTAGCTGGAGGACTCCTCGAGGCCCTCGATCAGCCAGTAGTTCTCTGGAATGCGAGGGAACGCCGTGGTGAGTGGAACGGAGTGGAACGGAGTGGAGCTCGTTACAAAAGTGGAACGAAGTGGAGCTCGTTACAAAAGTGGAACGAAGTGGAGCTCGTTACAAAAGTGGAACGGTTTGTGGAACGAAGTGGAGCTCGTTACAAAATGTGGAACACTTGTTCGTTAGTTGGAGCTCGGTGGAACGAAGTGAATTATTTTTCATTTTTTTTTATAATTGTGTTATTATTAATGAAGAAGTGTTGCGGATTATTATTTTTTAAAGTTCTATGATCCACTTGAATATATGATTTTTACTTGGTTTAATCCGGAGTGAAGAAAGAAAGACAAAAATACAGTCCAATAAATAGTTTGATCTTCAACAGAGAATTGTTTTCTTCGCTTACCAAGTTATTTATTTTTTCACTTGCTATGTTTATTTTCTCACTACATCCCCTCTTCCCGTTTTTTTCCCCTCAGACTGATCCCCTTCAGAATCCCCTCTTCCGTTTTCTTCCCTCAACTGAGATCCCCTCTTCCCGTTTTTCCCTCAGATCCCCTCTTCCCGTTTTCTTCCCTCAGACTGATCCCTCTTCCCGTTTTCTTCCCTCTGATCCCCTCTTCCCGTTTTCTTCCCTCAGACTTCCCTCTTCCCGTTTCTTCCCTCATCCCCTCTTCCCGTTTTCTTCCCTCAGACTGATCCCCTCTTCCCTTCCCTCAGACCGATCCCCTCTCCGTTTCTTCCCTCAGACCGATCCCCTCTTCCCGTTTTCTTCCCTCAGACCCCTGTTTTCCCTCAGACCCTCTTCCCTTTTCTTCCCTCAGACCGATCCCCTCTTCCGTTTTTCCCTCAGACCGATCCCCCTCTCCCGTTACCTACCCGACGCATTATACACCGTCGTGAAGGTCGTGTTCCCGCCCAGCTTCTCGGAGGTGTAGGGAGCCGCCTGCAGTGTGTAGGCGACGATGGGAGCGCCGTTGGACTCGGCTTTGCTCCACCACACCCGCAGGCCCACGCTGGAGGAGAGGGCGCCCGTCTGCCGCATCACCTGACCCGGCTCGCCTGGGACCTCGCCTGGGGAGGGATTTGGGATTATTATTTTTTTATTGTTATTAAATTTTGAGCAATAAACTATTGAGCAATTATTATTATTATTGAGCAATAAACTATTATTTTTTTATTATTATTAAATTGAGCAATAAACTAACAATAAACTATTATTTTTTATTATTATTAAATTTTGAGCAATAAACTATTATTTTTTATATTATTAAAGCAAAAAACTATTATTTTTTTATTGTTATTAAATTTTGAGCAATAAACTATTATTTTTTTTATTATTATTAAATTTTGAGCAATAAACTTTAATAATAGATAAATAAATAATAAATAAACTTTGAGCAATGAGAGAAACCCATATCTTAAAAAAAGAAATAAACCCATACCTTAATAAAAGAATTATTATTATTATTATTATTATTATTATTATCATTATTATTATTATTATTAAAGATTAGTGTTTCTTCTAAGTTTTTGATACGTGATTGAAGTTTTGGTAAGTTAAGGATATTGTTTTGTTCTAAGTTTTTGATACGTGATTGACTACTGTCCAGTATATGAATGCAGGCACACAGTACTAAATAATAATAGTAATGATAATGATGCTACTAATAAAAGATGAACATATGAATTACTATAAACAAGAAGAAAAGAAAATAGCCGATAGTGTACAGCTCAGAAACAACAATCAATTTCTTAAGCCCACACACACAACACACACACACACACACACACACAGCACGGGCAACGCACACGCACATGCACACGCACACGCACACGCACACGCACACGCACACGCACACACACACTGCACACGCACACACACGCACACGGCACACCACACGACACGCACACGCACACGCACACGCACACGCACACGCACACGCACACGCACAAACACACACACACACACACCACACACCACACACACACACACACACACACACACACACACACACACACACACACACACACACACACCACACAACACATATAGAGAGAGAGAGAGATGAGAGAGAGAGAGAGAGAGAGAGAAGAGAGAGAGAGAGTAGAAACAAACGCACTCACCTAGTGTTGGTTGAAACAGTTCTGGCCACGTGAAAGAGTGGAAAGTATTACTGTAAATGACTCTCAATCTCAGTAAGTAAGAGGTAGCCGGTACAAGGTCGGTGATATTGGCGAAGTACTTGTGTCCAGGCGAGGTTTGTACCATGGACAAGTGGTTCCATAGCGTTTGTCCCCGGGGTATGTATTCAATCTAGAACCAGGTTGAAAGGAAGGTGCGTTGTAGTGATAGCTTTATGAACGTCTGATGATATCAAGCTTATGAAGAATATTATGCTGTTTCGGAATATAATCAGTGAAAACCGATTTAAAGATCTCAGCGTCTAACATGAACATCAAAATTATATCTACTTCAAACAAATTTTTTATTTTTACAAATTTTAGAAATGACAAGCTAATACACGGAACCTGACGACTCTGAGCTTAAAAAAAAAGACTTACAACATGGCGACTGACGGAGTGATCTGCAGGCGGGGTCCACGAGACGTAGAGGGCGCGGCTTTGCATTTTCGAGTTTTAGGTAAGGTAGTTCCGGCAGTGTGATGACCGCCACTCTTGGGCTGTCTGTGTGCACGAGCTTGTCCTTGGAATAGACTCTCACCCAGACCTGTGGGCGGAGAAAGGTCATGTCATAATTCACAGATACGGATTTTTTTTTATGAAAAGCAATTATATATATATATATATATATATATATAATATATATATATATATATATATATATATATATATATATATATATAGCGGAGTAAGAAATAACTTGACGGTAATAATATTTTTCCCCAGGTGAAAAAAACAGACGCCACAACCCCCTCTGGAAATATAGAAAACAAAAGAGCCACCCAGAGAGAGAGAGAGAGAGAGAGAGAGAGAGAGAGAGAGAGAGAGAGAGAGAAGAGAGAGAAGGAGAGAGAGAGAGAGAGAGAGAGAGAGAGAGAAAGAGAAAGAGCAAGAGAGAGAGAGGAGAAAGAGAAAGAGAAAGAGAGAAAGAGAAAGAGAAAGAGAAAGAGAAAGAGAAAGAGAAAGAGAAGAGAAAGAGAAAGAGAAAGAAAGAGAAAGAGAAAGAGAGGAGAGAGAGAGACAGACGAGAAATGAGAAAGAGAAAAAAAAAAACACGTCACTAACAACAAAACACACACACACACACGACTCACTTTCAACCGCCGCTGCTTTTTTCCTTTCCGTTTCTTCCTCCTTTTCCAGTCTTCCCTCTCTTTGTCTTGCCCTCTTTCCACGTCTTCCACTCTCATCATCCTAGCTCTCTGTGTGCTAGCCTGCCATGAAGTCCTAGCAAAATGCGTTGCGGAGATCGAGCACGTGCGTTTCAAATCCGCACGCCCGGGGCCACGTGAAAGTGGTAACCCACGCGCCACTCGCTTTGCACAAACAGGGGGAGATTTTGGGGCAAAATCGCAAAGGCCAAGACAGTATGTCACAGCAAAGAATATCCAATCTGTAACAAATGGAATTAAAACTAAATCTTAAATCTTTCTCCTCTCTCTCTCTCTCTGCTCTCCTCATCTCTCTTCTCTTCTCTCTCATCTCTCTCTCTCATCTCTCTCTCTCTCTCTCTCTCATCTCCTCTCCTGCATCTTCGATCTTACGTAAACTCTGCAGTCTCTCGAGTGCTTACCCGTGTCTCTTAAATTCTCTCCTCATAAAGTAGAAAAACTTCTGCCTACATTTCCTCACTTCGGTTACTTTTTCGGGTTGGGTTTGGTGACCAGCTTAGTAATCCTCTTCTGGAACGCGTGTCCCGTGCTGTTGGCGTGGAATCGCAGGGGCCCCGCGCTGGACTCCCCGCCTCTCCCTAGTGGATCTCGTACACCTGGTCGGCCTCGGACTCGAAGCTCACGTCGATCTCCTCGGGTGACATGACCTCCGCCGTGAATTTGCCCACGCTCTCAGGGGCTGCGGGGGGGAGGGGGAGGGGGTGTGGTTTGAGTGGGTCGGGGGGGAGGTGGGGAGGGGTGTGGTGAGTGGTTGTTGCGCGTGGGGGAGGGGGAGGGTGTGGTGGATGTGGGTTGGCGGGGGGAGAAGGGGAGGGGGATGTGGTGAGTGGGTTGGCGTAAGGCAGAGGGGTAGGGGCGTGGTGAGTGGGTTGCGTGGGAGGGGAGGGATGTGGTGAGTTGTGGTTTGCGGGGGAGGGGATGGGGGTGTGGTTGAGTGGGGTTCGCGTGAGGGGGAGAGGGTGTGGTGAAGTGGGTTGCGGGGGAGAGGGAGGGGTGGGTGAGTGGGTGCGGCTGGGAGGGGAGGGTGTGGTGAGTGGGATGCGGGGGGGAGGGAGGGGGTGTGAGTGAGTGGGGGGGTCTTGGGGTGCGGGGAGAGGGAGGGGTGTGGTGAGTGGGTTGGCGGGGGGAGGGGGAGGGTGTGGTGAGTGGGTTGCGGTGGAGGGGAGGGGTGTGGTGAGTGGGTTGCGGTGGGGAGGGTAGGGCCGTGGTGAGTGGTTGCGGGGAGGGGGAAGGCGTGGGACGTGGGTTGCGGGGGGAGAGGGAGGGTGTGGTGAGTGGGTTTGCGGGGGGAGAGTGGTGTGGCAGTGGGTGGCGGGGGAGGAGGGAGGGGTGTGGTGGAGGTGGGTTGGCGGGGCGGGTAGGGAGGGGTTGTGTGAGTGGGTTGCGGTGGGAATGGTGGGTGTGTGGTGGTGTGGATGCGGGGGTGAAGGTGGGGGTGTGGTGTGATGGTGCGGGGGAGAGGGCGGGTGTGGTGAGTGGGTTGCGATGGAGTGGGGAGGGGTGTGCTGAGTGTATGCGGGGGAGAGGGAGGGGTGTGGTGAGGGTTGGGGGTGGGTGATGGAGGAGGTAATGGAGGGGAGTTGGTGATGGAGTTGGATTTTCGTTGGTGGTGGGATAGTGATGGTGATGATAGTGGCAGCGAAGACGGTGATAAAATATACTAGTACAACTACTATTGACATTACTGATAGTAATGATAACAATTTATGCTGAATGCAGTCACAGAGATTCTTAAATCACGCCATGCCTTATGTGGCAATTTCTTTCACGAGCTGATGACCAGTAACCTTAACTAAAACCCCAATTACAGAAGCGAATCGAATACCACAAATCCTACTCAAATACCTTTCGCTTTGGTCTTGAATACGGCAGAGGGACTGGCAACAGACACGATGCCCAGTCTGTGGTTGTAGACGGTCTCAACGGAAGCCCGGAAGACGTACCGAGTGAAAGGCTGCAGCCCGTCCACGGTGATGAATCGGTTTGTGCTCCTCTGGGAACGAAAAATGGCCTTTAAGACACAACAACGAAAGGGTGATTAGTGCCGTAGGCTGTGCTTGCGTCTTGTTGAAAATTGCACCTTGAGCAATGAGAGAAACCCATACCTTAAAAAGAGAAATAAACCCATACCTTAAAAAAGAAATAAACCCATACCTTAAAAAAGAAAATAAACCCATACTTAAAAAAGAAAAAACCCATACCTTAAAAAAATAAACCCATACTTAAAAAGAAAATAAACCCATACCTTAAAAAAAGAAATAAACCCATACCTTAAAAAAGAAATATACCCATACCTTAAAAAAAGAAGAAATAAACCCATACCTTAAAAAAGAGAAATAAACCATATCTTAAAAAAAGAAATAAACCATACCTTAAAAAAGAGAAATAAACCCATACCTTAAAAAAGAGAAATAAACCCATACCTTAAAAAAGAAAATAAACCATACCTTAAAAAAAGAGAAATAAAACCCATACCTTAAAAAGAGAATAAACCCATACCTTAAAAAAAAACCCATACCTTAAAAAAAAAGAAACAAACCCATACTTTATAAAAAAAAAAACAGAGCCCACGAAGAGAAGGAAACGGAAAATCAACATCAAAGAAAGAGAAAGAAAGAAAGAAAAAAAGAGAACCCCCAAAACCAGAGAAACCAAAACCCACGAAACCCACGAAGCCCAACTCACCCACTGCCTGCAAAGCCTCACGTCCGTCGCGCAGGAGCCCTCGTCGGAGTGGGCGACGGGGGCGTAGTAGACGGTGTACATGACGGGGGGTAAAGGCAGGCTCCCACAGGCGTCCACTTTGGCCTCGGGGACTTTCAGCTCAATGGCGATGGCCGTCTCTTGACTGCCGGCGAGTTTGGGGAGGTGGGTGTAGTTCGAGGTTGTGAGGCAGTCGGGATCTGTAGGAGGGAGAGATGCGGGGGGGGGTGAGTTCGGGGGGGTGAGTTGGGGGGGAGTTCGGGGGGGGTGGGTTGGGGGGGGGTGAGTTCGGGGGGGTGAGTTCGGGGGGGGGTGAGTTCGCGGGGGTGAGTTCGAGGGGTGGTTTGGGGGGGGGTGAGTTTGGGGGGGGGTGAGTTCGGGGGTGAGTTTCGGGGGGTGAGGTCGGGGGGGGGGTGAGTTCGGGGGGGGTGGAGTCGGGGGGGGTCGGGGGGGGGTGAGTTGGGGGGGTGAGTTCGGGGGGGGGGGGGTGAGTTCGGGGGTGAGTTCGGGGGGGGGGGGGGGGCGGGGGGGTGAGTTCGGGGGGGTGAGTTTGGGGGGGTGAGTTCGGGGGCGGGGGGGGAGTTCGGGGGGGGGTGAGTTCGGGGGGGGGGGGAGTTCGGGGGGGGTGAGTTCGGGGGGGGTTGAGTTCGGGGGGGGTGAGTTCGGGGGGTGAGTTCGGGGGGTGAGTTCGGGTGGTGAGTTTGGGGGGGGGGTGGTTTTGGGCGTGGAGGGTAGGGGTTGTGGTGTGGTGTTGGTAGGTTGCTGTGGTAGGTGTATGTTGGTGGTGTTGGTGTAGGTAGGTATGTGTAGGTAGGTGCTAGGTGTATGTGTAGGTAGGTGTATGTGTGTAGTAGGTAGGTGTAGTGGTGTAGGTGTAGGTGTGTGTGTAGGTAGGTGTATGTGTGGTAGGTGTAAGGTGTATTGTAGGTAGGTGTATGTGTAGGTAGGTGTATGTGTAGGTAGTAGGTAGGTAGGTGTAGGTAGGTGTAAGTGTAGGTAGGTGTAAGTGTAGGTAGGTGTAAGTGTAGGTAGGTGTAAGTGTAGGTGTATGTGTAGGTAGGTGCTAAAGCATTTGGGTATGTTTTTGCTAGTACATGATGGTAAAGGTGTAGGTCTGTAGGTAGCATTTAAATTTAACACAAACGTTTTATTCGTAAATATTTTTTATGAAAGAACATACAACTTAGAGATTAAACAAACAAACAAACAAACAACTTCCAAGCTGGTTCAGGATCAAAAACACCATCTGTTCTACCTGGCATTGGCTGTGTTGCAAGATCTAGAGGGATGAGAGACGTTGCATTGTACAGATACTGCGCACGGAGGGAGTCAGCAGACACGGTGCCTGTCTTGGGGAGCCACAGCAGGGTCTGGTTGACACCGACGTAGCAGTAGAGATGAGCGAAGTCCACCGCGATCTCGACGCAAGGCCCTGGTGACCGAAAAGGTGATGTTAGGGCATGTTATTACAATTACCATCTTATCAATTCTGTAATTATCATTATCCTTATTACTGCGACATCTTAACAATATTTGTTCCGAAGCTTATGAGTGAACTTGTCGATAGAAAAGATTCAAATAATCTATAAGGATTATTTTCAATGCAAGTATATTGTGCGCAATATTAAGCTCATCTCTTGCAAATCTTTAAAAACAATCTAAGTAGTTTTACGTTGTACCTAAATAGCTTTAACAGGTTTCACGTACTAACCATTACAAAAAAAAAAAAACCCTTAAGCATAACAGCTAAACGAAATCACAACAAAACCCAAACGCAACGGCGAATACCCACCATAACCGAAGTCCTCAGGCACAAACACCGGCTCGCAGTCACAGCCGTGTAAGTCCGTCTTGTACACGACCGTCGTCTTGGGGGTCTCGCCGACGCCCCCTCCGGCGACGAAGTACAGGGCGGGGTGCGTGAGGTTGGTCGTGTCCAGGGCAGCTCCGCCCATGAGACTGGGGTTCTTCGAGCAAGTGCATTCCAGATCCCTAAGCGAAAAAGGGGAGGGGTTAGAATGAGGACAGTGTTCATGGCAGCCCGTGTACGCGAGTTGCAGTCACATTTGTCACGTATTTCAGTTTAGAAGCGGGGTGGGTATCTTACGGATGGCTATGCTTGTTCCAAACTGGAGTGCATAAACAGGGATAAAAGAAAACACGTGATCAATATAATCCCAAAAGTCCTAGTAAAGCACAAACAAAGCCCATCATACGTGTGAAAAAAATAAATTTGTTAATACGAACCTTTCTTGGCTGAACACATCCTGCACGACTTTCGAGTGAGCGAAACTCACTATCGAGAGTTTCGAACCTCTATAGCTATCGTGGAGGATAAGTACTTGACTGCAAAGAAAAGAGAAAAAAAATGAAGAGAAATAAAAATGATAATACATATGGCACATTCGACATTGAAATAACAGGAGCAAATGGATTCAAATTCCTCAGGCAGCAGGAGAAAGGTGACTCACCTCGTGGCGGGTGACAACAAAAACTTCTTGATGGGGTCACTCAAGCTGATTTTGGCGAGAGACTTCCTGCTCTTGTATTCGATCTCGAGCATCTGCAGGTTGATCTCTCTCGAGCCCACGGACGGTCTCTCGGCCCACACGATGATCTCCCTGACCCAGTCGGCGGCCAAACCCACGCCCTGGCCGCCTAGACGCAAGAGCTGGAGGGGTATGGGGATAGGGGGGGGGCTGATTACTTATTTGTCTGGTGAATATCTTTATTTTTCTATGATGTGTCTGGATATCTTAACAAATGGTTAGTGGAGATTACTGTTGTTGTTTTTTTGGCTATGTGAAAAGAGTGAAATGGAGACAAAGGTGTATATCCCAAGAGACGAGTGGCACTATAACTAAGGGGTGAAAACCGAACTTGATGCTACTGACCCTCTCCGTGTAATTCGTGGTCATGTGCGTGATATAGACGTCCGAGTTCATGTCCATCCAGGCGAAGGAGGAGTTGGAGAGGAGAGCGGACACCCACTGCACTCTCGAATTCTCACTCAGGATCTCTCTCTCCTCCTGCAGGTCGGCGTCGAGCTTCATCAGGGCTTCACCGGCGACTACGATGAGGGAAGGAGTGGGCATGTGCTGCTGCAGGCCCCCTGTCACCTCGGAACTGTAAGGTCCTTTGCCGATTTCGTTCACAGCCGCGACCTTGAAGGGAGAATCCACACGGTTGAGGCGCTTCGTTTGCCTCTGTCGCATATACTCAGTCGATAAGGTTACAATTATCATTTGCTTCGATTCAAAGACAATGCCATACTGGATTACGACAAATCTAAAACACACACATCAAGACATGCGAACACACACACACACACATCTTTAAAAAAAAATCCAAATTCCACCCATAAAAGAACAAGAAAATTCGCAGCCGCTCCATACTTTGAACCTGTAGACTTGATCGGGACTGAGGTTCTCCACCTTGACCTTGATCTGGCTCGCCTCCACCGAAACGCTCCTGCAGTGCCCTTCGCTCTCCCCGGAGCATTCGATGACCTCGTAGGATGTTATCTCGCCGTTTGGCTTCTCAGGAGCCGACCAGCGCAAGTGAATGATTGCAACTGTGTCCTGTGCCAGAGACGCGAGGGGGTTATTTTGTTATGCTTATTAAAAGGGGAGGGAACTGCGTAAACAAAGGAACTGTGAAAGATATTAGCTAAAGACGTTTCTTATGTGGTTAAATACAAAGCTCTTTCTAGGCAACTCTGTTAGGGCAGTGTTATTTATATGAAGTGCTGAGTTGCAGCCTACTGACTAGCAATCAAAACACAACACAAAAATAACGTGAACTAAACACAAGAATTCTACAGTTATCTAAGTAGCACATTAAAAACGGAAACAATTTCCACCGCTTACGAAACAACCAATCGATCTGTACACTAATCAACCTATAAAACGCCTGATCAGCCACTCCGCCCTTACCTGCACCTTCTGCACGAACGTCCGCAGGTCCTGAGGAGGGCCGGGCAGGGACGCGGGAGTCCTTATCGTCTTGATGAGCCTCGTGCCGACGCTCCAGTCCGTGATGCCCCTCACGGACAGCTTCAGGGGAGAATAAGGAGGCAGCTTCTCCTCGTAAGGAATGGAGTTGTTTCTGGTCAGGATCGCCTTCTTGCCGGATCCGTTGTCGATGATGACCTCGTACAGAAGGTTGCCGTAGTTGATGTTGGTGATGGGGGACCACCGGAGGGCGAACTCCTCCCACGTCCCCTCCACCACCACGGAGCTCTCGTCGATCTGGCCCGGGATCACCTGGGGCTCGAGCACGTTGGCTGGAGGAGGACGAGAAAGGGGGGTAAAGGAGAAGCGAGAAAGGGTTGATAACGCTGTAGGCAGAGTAAATAAAAGGAAAGTTTCTATGGTTTTCTCTGTAATACTTCGAATCTATTTATATAGCGTTTCAAACATGAGATATAAAAACCTCCTTAAGACAGCAATAATAGAGATGATGATAGTAATAACAAATATTGATAAGAACAATAATCATAAACAATATCATCGCCACCAGAAGGAAACAAAAAATCGACAAAAATCACAAAACCAAAGCCCGACAGTCTAAGCCCTGGCAACCTACCTGGCATGGGTTGCAGATCGGGCAACATCACAGTGAAATGCAACACGCCCAAGCTAGAGGTATTAAGAGCGGCAGAGTTGTTGAGGCTCGTGTCCGATACCACCAGGTCCCCGTCCTCCCCGAGCCACAGGAGGCGCTCGCTCAGGTACCACATGGGGCCTGGAGGGGCGTGGGGAGGGAGAAAGGGTTAATTGTGGTGGGGGTTTGGGGGGCTTGTGGTAGAAGATGGTTGTGGGGTTGCGGTTGTTTGTGTGTGTGTCTAAGCGCGTTTGGTTTTCAGTTTGTGTCCGAACATATATTACAAAAATATATATCACATTTTCATTACAAACGTAACACAACCATCAAAAATAAAAATAAATAAATAATTAAAAAAAAAAAAATTAATTAAAAAACTCACCAAGCATAACCGGTTGTGGAAGTGCCTTGGTTGGAAACTTAACAACCTTTTCCTTCATCGATGCCCCAAATAACTTACAACCTTCGGCATCTCGAACAATCCACCATATGCGAGCTCCAAAGGTGTCCACCGTCAGCCCATACACTGAAAATAGAAATTATTATTGAATTTATATTTTTATTATTAATATTATTTTTATTATGGTTCAGTCGATGGCTATGAAAGAATATCAATAAAAGGTAGTTTTGATTTTTTTTAATGATTTCAATAGCAATATGATAAAAATGATAGTGATTATGATGATGATAGTAAATTGAACGAGAAAAGGGGAAAAGAAAAAAGAGGAAAAGAAGAAGAAAAAAGAGGATAAAAAACTAGTCATAAATATTACACTAAAAGAGAAAATATAAAATAGAGGAACATACAAATAATAAAACAAATAACGCGCGATAAAATGATTAAACAAACGACCAATCAATAAATCAAACAGAAAGTAAGTAAAAGATACATGAAAATAAGTGAATGAATGAAATACGAAAACAAGTAAACAGATGAAAACGAAAGTAAGTAAATGAATAAAATACGAAAATAAGTGAATGAATGAAATACGAAAACAAGTGAATGAAAAAATACGAAAACAAGTGAATGAATGAAATACGAAAACAAGTGAATGAATGAAATACGAATGAATGAATGAAAACGAAAACAAGTGAATGAACAAGGAATGAATAAAAATACGAAAACAAGTAAACAGCTGAAAACGAAAGCAAGTAAACAGATGAAAACGCAACGAAGTGAAACAAAAAGGCAAAAAAAAGTAAACAAACACTCCTCCCTACCTTGCTTGCCACTGAAGATAAGTGAATGAATGAAATACGAAAACAAGTAAACAGCTGAAAACGAAAGCAAGTAAACAGATGAAAACGCAACGAAGTGAAACAAAAAGGCAAAAAACAAAACAAAACAGGTAAACAAACACTCCTCCCTACCTTGCTTGCCACTGAAAATAAGTGAATGAATGAAATACGAAAACATGTAAACAGATGAAAACGCAACGAAGTGAAACAAAAGGCCCCCCCCCAAAAAAAGGTAAACAAACACTCCTCCCTACCTTGCTTGCCACTGAAGATGCCCTCCTGGTGGATGGTGGAGACGTTCCTGCCGGCCAGAGTCGAGACGAGGAGGGCGTGAGGCGTCGTCCAGAAGAGGCGGCCGTGAAGGGCGTCCACGCGGACCTCCCTGGCTGCCGTGACCACGTTGAGGGGCCCCTGGGACGTCCCCTGCAGGCTCGACCAGCCGATCTGCGGAAGGGAGGGGGGGGGGTTAGAGGAATGGGTGAGGAGGGGGAGGGATTAGAGGAATGGGGAGGGAGGGAGGGTGAGGGAGGGGTGAGGGAGGGTGGGGAGGAGGAGGGAGGGGGGGGAGGAGGAGGGAGGGGTTGTGGGAGGGTTGTGGGGAGGGTGGGGAGGGAGGGGGAGGGTGGGGAGGAGGGGAGGGGGAGAGGAATGGGGAGGAGGAGGGAGGGGTGTGGGAGGTTGGGAGGGAGGGAGGGTTGAGGGAGGGTTGGGGAGGGGGAGGGAGGGTTGGGGAGGGAGGGTGGGGGATTAGAGGAATGGGGAGGAGGAGGGGGGGTAGGGGAGGTTGGGGTTGAGGAGGAGGGGAGGAGATGGGGAGGGAGGAAGGGTTTGGGAGGGAGAGGGGGAGGGAGGGAGGGGTGAGGGAGGGTTGGGGAGGGAGGGGAGAGGAGGGAGGTGAAGGAGGGAGGAGGGAGGAGTGAGGGACGGAGGGAGGGAGGATTGGGGAAGGAGGGGCGAAGGAGGATTGGAGGAAGGGAGGTTAAAGAATTTGGGAAGAAAGAAAGGAAGGTTTAGGAGAAGGAGGGAAGGAATGTCGCGGAAATAGAGATACAAGAACGGAAGAACACAAAACCAAACAGATACAAACACATGAAACAACCCCCCCCTCCCCTCCCTCCCCCCCACCCAAAAAATAAGACAACGAATAATCGACCCCAACGACTCCATCCCCCCCCAAAAAAAAAAAAAAAAAAAAAAAAAAAAAAAAAAAAAAAAAAAAAAAAAACTCACCATCTGCCTGTGAGGATTGGCCCAGAAGAGGCGCTGCGTCAGCCAATCCACGGACACCGAGAGAACGCCGTGGGTATTGGGCACTTCAGCAAAAGTCGAGGCCGTCATGTTCATCAGGAAGACGCTCTGGTTGCTCACAGCCATAACCAGAGTATCTCGAAAAAAAGCCAAGTCCACGATCTTCTCGCCCTTCAACTTCGCCTGTGAGAGATAAAAAAAATGGTTAAAAGATTTAGTTTCCAGCCCTTCAAGCTTCGCCTGTGAGAGATTAAAAAAAAATTAAAAGATTTAGTTTCCATTCAAGAGATCTAAAGAATTATTTAGTTTCCATTCCATTTGTTACAATGGATATGCTTTGCTGTGACATACTGTCTGTTTTATTTAGCCTTCTAAATCTCGTTCTGTGTGCAAGGCATGACCGGGGTTGCCATCCACTGGCAGCGCGCAGGATCGAACGCAGGTCAGCAAGATTGCAAGACCAGCAAGTTCACCACTGCACTACACAGCACAGAGAGTCAAAGTCACACACACACACACACACACACACACACACACACACATACAGACACACACACACACACACACAAATAGAACACAAAATACAGACACACCACACACACACCACACATTTATTAATTAATTACAATGGTCATTCTTTACATAAATACATCGGCTAACAACGGTAATGGGGATAAATGATAATAAACAAGATCCAACTGTAGAAATGAGTAAGAGAGTGAGAGAGAGAAGAGAGGGAAAGAAGAGAGAGAAGAGAGAGAGAGAGAGAGAGAGAGAGAGAGAGAGAGAGAGAGAGAGAGAGAGAGGGAGAGAGGGAGGAGAGGGAGGGAGGGAGGGAGGGAGGGAGGGAGAGAGAGAGAGAGGAGAGAGAGAGAGAGGAGAGGGAGAGGAGAGAGAGAGAGAGAGAGAGAAGAGAGAGAGAGAGAGAGAGAGAGAGAGAGAGAGAGAGAGAGAGAGAGAGAGAGAGAGAGAGAGAGAGAGAGAGAGAGAGAGAGAGAGAAGAGAGAAAAAAAGAGAGAGAATAAAGAGAAAGAGAAGAGAAAGAGAAAGAAAAAGAGCAAAAGAAAGCGAAAGAGAAAAGAGAAAGATCAGCCACAAACCCCTTTACCTGCAACGTCTCCTGAGGCACGAGCACCGAACTGTCACTCCCGACGAGGCTCGACATGAAGATCTTGTCCTTCGTCGCCCACACCAGCTGAGGGCGTCGTCCGTGGCATCGAGTACGACCTCGAAATTCTCGACTCCAGGGCCTTTTCCCCCGGGGAGTATGCTTACCTGTGGTAGAAGAATTTGATGAATTCCATTATTTTCAATTATATTTTTTTTTTTTTTTTTTGTTTTTTTATTCAGCGTGACACCGAGACGTGATTTTGTATGTTTATATTATTTTACACTTTTGTTTCTTACTTTAGCGCCTGGAGTGTTTTTTTGTAATATCCTTATTATTATTATCTAAGTGAATGCTTTGTATGTATATACATTCGTTTGTTTGTGGAAACTGATACACGACGTATGATTTTGTCAAAAAAAAAAAAAAAAAAAAAAAAAAAAAAAAAAAAAATATATATATATATATATATATATATATATATATATATATATATATATATATATATATATATATATATAATATTATATATATATATATATATATGCTTGCAGCGCCAGTTAATTTCACTATTACTTTCTTCGAGGGGAATATTTCACTTACGAATTGAATGTGAGAAATAATTTGATATGAAACTTCGTGCATATTTTCCGTGTCATAATACAAATTGCAATAACAATAATTTCCACACCATTATAAATTTCATACGTTTATAAAATCACACATATTTTTCATACATATCCCTCTCTCTCTCTCTTCTCTTTTTTTTTTTTTTTTTTTTTTTTTTTTTTTTTTTTTTTTTTTTTTTTTTTTTTTTTTACAAATATACTTCACTCACCTTGATTATATAAAATGTCCCCGGCCTGAGATTAACAGCCTGGTATGACGTCCTTGCTATATTCTTGTCCGAAATGGTCTTCCGGCCTTCCTGGATGTGGACGTCATACCGCCATATTTGCCATGCACGTGAACCTGAGGAGGAAAGGCGAAGTGTTATGGAAACGTCGAAAATATACGTCTGATTTCGTTTCGTTACGTGTTTTGACACAGATGGCCGATGTGTGTGTATCTAATTTTGTAACTGTGTGTCTTTATGTTTCAAAATAGATGCACACGTGATCTACACAGTGTAACATCAACATGACATCACCACCGACGTAGCATCGACATAGCACCAACACTATGAAAATGACATCAACACCATTGACATAAAACCAACACTTTGAAAATGACAACACAATCAATATAACATCAACATAACATCACCACCAACATAGCATCAACACTATGAAAATGACATCAACATAGCACCACGCTATGAAAATGACAACATCAATCTAACATCAACATAACATCACCACCAACATAGCATCAACATATGAAAATGACATCAACACATCAACATAACATCACACCAACATTAACACCATCAACATAACGTCACAACATTAACGCCATCAACATAACATCAACCAACATGAACAATCAACATTCACCAACATCAAACATAACATCACCAAACATGAACACCATCACATAACATCACCAACATGAACACCATCAACATAACGTCACAACATGAACACCAACATAACATCACCAACATGAACAATCAACATAACATCACCAACATGAAACACCATCAACATAACATCACACCAACATGAACACCATCAACATAACGATCAACACCCATCAACAATAACACCAACCACCAACATGAACACCATCAACATAACATCACCAACATGAACACCATCAACATAACATCACCAACATGAACACCATCAACATAACATCACCAACATGAACACCATCAACATAACATCAAACATCAACACATCAACATAACATCACAAACATGAACACATCAACATAACATCACCAACATGAACACCATCAACATAACATCAGAACATGAACACATCATCACCAACATGAACACCATCAACATAACATCACCAACATGAAACACCATCAACATGAACCACCACATGACACCATCAACATAACATCACCAAACATGAACACCATCAACAATACATCACCACCAACATGAACACCATCAACATACATCAACCACCAACATGAACACCATCAACATAACATCACCAACATGAACACCATCAACATAACATCACCACCAACATGAACACCAGAACACCCAACATAACATCACCATAACATCAACATACATTCATCAACATAAACATTCATGAACACCATCAACATAACATCACCACCACATGAAACACAACACATCACCACACGATCAACATAACATCATGAACACCCAACATGCATGAACACCATCATAACATCACCACCAACATGAACACCATCAACATAGCATCACACCAACATGAACACCATCAACAAGAAACACCATCAACATAACATCACCACCAACATGAACACATCAACATTCACCACAACATGAACACATCAACATAACATCACCACCAACCACCATGAACACCATCAACATAACATCACCACACCTGAACACCCATGAACACCATCAACATAACATGAACACCATCACATCACCATGAACACCATCAACATAACATCACATGAACACCAACATGAACACCATCACATAACATCACACCAACACGAACACCATCAAACATCACCACATAACATCAACATAACAAAACATGACACCATCAACATACATCACACCAACATGAACACATCAACATAACATCACCACCAACATGGAACACCATCAACATGAGCACACACCATCAAACATAACATCACATAACATCACCATGAACACCATCACATAACATCACCAAACATGAAACACCATCAACAAAACATCACACACAACATGAACACCATCAACATAACATCACCACCAACACGAACATCAACATAACATCAACCAACACCATCAACATAACATTCACAACATGAACACCATCAACATAACATCACCAACATGAACACCATCAACATAACATCACAACATGAACACCATCAACATACATGGAACACCATTAACATCACACCAACATGAACACCATCACATAACATCACCATCACCATCAACATGAACACCATCAACATAACATCAACACCAACATAGCATCAACACTATGAAAATGACATCAACAGAACACCATCAACATAACATCACCAACATAAACATACCCATAAGTGCAGGCAAAGCCGGAGCATTCCACCGGAGGGAAGCCGTCGTGCGGGTGAACACAGCCTGCAGGTCCGTAGGTGGATTAAGTGGAACAGGAACAGGCTGTGTTGAACCGTGAACAGCGACAATAGTTCCCACATCGACGGTGTTCATGCTATAACTGTGGAGGGAGAGCGAGGGTCGGTTTAGTGTGTGGGAACAAGCGTATAACGAGGTAAGTGTAGTAATAGTAGGAGTAATAATGGTGATGCGGTATATGAATAAGAGTAATAATGGTGATTATGATTATAACGGCAAGTATAATAATAATGGATAAATTATGACGTAAGTATGGTAATAAGAGTAATAATGGTGATTATAATTATAACGGCTAGTATAATAATAATGGTGATAATTATGACGGTAAGTATGGTAATAAGAGTAATAATGGTGATTATAATTATAACGGCAAGTATAGTAATAATGGTGATGGAAATTATGATGGTAAGTATAGTAATAAGAGTAATAATGGTGATTATAATTATAACGGCAAGTATAGTAATAATGGTGTGGAAATTTATGGTAAGTATAGTAATAAGAGTAAAATGGTGCTGAAGTATGACGGTGATGATAATTATGGCGGCAAGTATGGTAATAAGAGTAATAATGGTGATTATGATTATAACGGCAAGTATAATAATAATGGTGATGATAATTATGACGGTAAGTATGGTAATAAGAGTAATAATGGTGATTATAATTATAACGGCTAGTATAATAATAATGGTGATGGAAGTTATGATGGTAAATTTAGTAATTAAAGTCATGATGGTGATGATAATTGTGATTGATGATGGTGATGATAACTGATGATGATAATGATGATAACAATGATGATATCGTTGAGCATGATACATCACCATCAAACTTAAATTCAGAGTAAGAGACGAATAAACAAATAATAATGACAACAAAAACAAAGAAAACGCCACAAACCCATATAATAACAGTACCAAAAATAATATACAAAACGCCACCAATTCAATTAATAACAATAAAAATGACAATTTTTTTTTTAAAAGACCACCTACCTGTTATGATAGAAAGTGCCATCATTAAGTTCTTCAGTGTAGACTTCACTGCCATCAGTCCAGAAGAACCGACTGTTCAGGTGGACGACCGACTTCAGGTGTTGGAAGAAGGCGCGCTGGGTGTTGGCACGGAGGTTGGTAACCGAAGTGCTGGAAAAAGGGTTATTAAAATGAGTACTGGTTGAGTGGTATCGATTGCTGGAAAATATGCATTAAAATGAGGATTGGTAGATTGGTATCGGTTGAAAGGATTTAGCGAAGGCGAGGAAGGCAATGCGAAGAATAGTGGATGAATTCGTAATCTGTTGCGTTAGTGAAATAGGTATAATTTTCCTCTTATCTATTAAAGGGGAAGAAGGAGAAGACGTAGAAGTAGTAGTAATAGTAGCAAACGGAGGAGCAATAGCAGTAACAGTCGTAATGATAGGAATAACACCAATAACAATGATAATTCCTAGTACCACCACAATCCACAACCGACCACAACAAGCCACGGACACCAACCCGTCCAGAGACACAGCCAGCATCGCATTATTCTTCCTGTCTGCCACGAGGACCTGGAAATTGGGCGGGTCGAGCACCAGGCCGCCCAAGTCGAGCTCCGGGGAACTCAGGACGATCTCTGGTTCTTTCGTCTCGTCGCTGTCGTTCATGTCGAGACGGTACAGGCCGCCGTCCACGTCCTCGGAGATCCACCATATGTACCTGAGGGTGGATGAGGGGTGTTTGTTATTCGGAATGGATGGATTGTGTAATGAGGTTGGTGGTTGTGTTGTATTGGTATCCCTTAGGAAAGAAATGAAAACGAGCTTTAAATGTTTTCTTCTCTCTGTTTGTATCACTGTGGTATCCTGCGTTACCAAATCTTTCTTTCTTCAACCAACGAAATATAAGAATAAATGGCACATTGAAAGGCTCTCTTTTGTGAAAAAAATAGCATGTGTTATGAGAGGCAATTTCATATTATATATTCACAATCTTTTTCTTAGTACCATGTCATTATCGTAAATGAATGCATCCCGTTTTCTTTCTCTAACAACGAAACATAGGGGTAACTTACCCATTGTAAGGGTCCACCTGTAGATGCTTCGGCTCGTAATGGAGTTCCCCGTAGATGAGCACAGGGTATTTTCCGCTCAGATTGCACCTCCACAACTGCCACACGTTGTTCATCGTAGGCTCCAAGTGAACGATGTAATAGAGGTGGTAGTAGAGCCAGTCGACCGAGAGACTCAGCGGGTAGCCGTGGAGGTGGTTTTGCGTCAGCAGCGTGTAGACTTTCTTAGAAGATGGAATCAGCTGCGTTATGGAGCCGCCTGTGTCGCTGATGTATATCACGTCGAAGGGAATATAGACAGCCATTCCTACACACGAGGGAAAACAAAAGCAAGTTGATGAATCAGTGAAATAGAAATAATCAATAATTTACGAAATGTATGGCCAAGATCAAGGGAAATGTGTGACGCGGAATTGACACCAATAAATGATAACCTCCTACCATGCTTTATATCATGCAAACGTGTAAATATAAAAGAATGTCAATATTCGATTATTAAAATGATTCTGAAGATACTAACGACAAGGCGATCCAGTATGTCACACGAACGAATTCAATATAATTTGATAGAAATAGATATTGGTAAGAAGAAACTGCTTTACTAACCCGTAATATTGAGGTGCTCAGATACGTTGTAGAGATGTTGAGGAGCGTCCGTTATATCTAGTCCTAGTCTTAAGATCCTTGACCCTGAGGTAAGTAGCAGGTAACCTTGGCCGTCGTCAACAGCTGTAATAAGAAAATGTGATACGTTAATGCAGCTGTACTTGAACCGTCATCTTCATCTTGGTTGTGAGTGGACTCCTTCTTTATCAATTACTGATCTTCTTAAGTTTTACTTAACATGCGATACGTGAGAACCCCCCCCCCAAAAAAAAAAAAATAAATCATAATAATAAATAAAAAATAGAAAATACATAGTGAACGTTTAAGAGAAACATGAAATCCGAAAAAAAAGCAACGAAATCAAGGAAAAGACACATTAACACAACAACAAACAAATACGGGCGTATCGGAACATCCCCTCAGGATTACTAGATGAGCAACGACCCACGAAAATACCCCCTCCCCCCCAAAAAAAAAAAAAAAAAAAACAGAAAAAAAAGCCCGACCAGCGAAGCGTCTTACCAGGAGCCGTAGGATAAGTTGTCACTTGAGCAACAACAGCTGGGCCTTCTCCGCGGTGGTTGGTGGAGGTGAGGTTCAGGATGTATGTCGTGTTTGCCGATAATTCCGAAAGAATGTATCTGTAACGGATACCGGGATTTTTTTTTTTTACGCTATTGATACGGTGCGGAAAATCGCGTGAAGTAGGATCAGGGCGAAGGATCTCTCGATATAGAGTCTCTCTCGCTTCTGTTTAGATACACATACACATCATCATGTCAACAGTATTCAAATAAATCGATAGACCAAAAAAAAAAAAAAAAAAAAAAAAAAAAAAAAAAAAAAAAAAAAAAACATGAGATCATCCTACCTCCTCTCACTATTCGCATCGATGTTATCCCTCATCTCCTGCTTCCCCTCAGCATCCTTGGAGTAGAGAGTGTACGAGATGAGGTCTCCGCCCGGGAAGAGGGGCGGATCCCACGACACCTCGACGCGGGACCAGTCAAGAGGGACAGCGCGGAGCTCCTGAAAAGGCGAAGGAAGGGGGGGGGGTGAGGATTGGAGGATGGTGTGGCTGTTCCTGCTCATGAAAGAAGGGAGGATTATGGTGAGGATTGGAGGATGGTGTGGCTGTTCCTGCTCATGAAAGAAGGGAGGATTGGAGGATGGCGTGGCTGTTCCTGCTCATGAAAGAAGGATGGGGTGAGGATGGTGTGGCTGTTCCTGCTCATGAAAAGAAGGAGGATTGGAGGATGGTGTGGCTGTTTCTGCTCATGAAAGAAGGGAGGATTATGGTGAGGATTGGAGGATGGTGTGGCTGTTTCTGCTCATGAAAGAAGGAAGGATTATGGTGAGGACTGGAGGATAGTGTCTTTGATCCTGAAGAGCAAGGATGGAATATTTTGAGAATTAGAGGATAGTGATTCAACTCCTGAAGAGAAAAGAGGGAATATTTTGAGGATTGGAGGATGGTGTGTGTGTTCCTGCTCATGAAAGAAGAAACAAATATGATGACTTCAGGATAGTGTCTCAGTTTCTGAAGAGAAAAAAAAAGGAATATGTTGAGAAAGCCACATTTCTCTCCTAAAATGAGGAGAGAAATGTGATGAAGTGTGAAGGATTTCTGACTATGGATAGTGTCGGTGACTATGGATAGGCGGGTGATGGTGGGTAAAGAGGAGGGGGGGGGGGAGTGTGGGCGGGGGAGGTGTGTGGTGTGGGCGTGATGAGAGGATAGGGGTTGGGTTAGCGTGTAGGCGTGGGCGATGTGAAGGTTTTTAGGAAATGATGTTTGCGTGGATGTGTTCCTATGTATATACTGGTTGTTCTGATGAGGATGTTGAACTGTGTCTATTAACATCTGCCCGCCAACGTATGCATGCATATCATAAACGAGAAAAAGGCCTAAATAAACTTCTTAATTATCAAAATTTCACCTCAAAACAACGTAAATCTTACGGCCATCAACATTTCACTTGAAAACAACATAAGTCTTAAGAACATCAAAATTTCACCTCAAAACAACATAAATCTTAAGGACATCAAAATTTCACTTCAAAATAACATACATCTTAAGAGCATCAAAATTTCATTTCAAAACAACATAAGTCTTAAGAACACCAAAATTTCACCTCAAAACAACATAAGTCATAAGAACATCAAAATTTCACTTCAAAACAACATAAAATGTCACTTCAAAACAACATAAATCTCAAGGACATCAACATTTCACTTTAAAAAAAAATCGATCTTAACGAAGGACTTCTTCAAACAACATAAATCTTAAGAACATCAACATTTCACTTCAAAAAAAAAAAAAAAAAAATCGATCTTAACGAAGGACTTCTTCATCAAAATGTCCCCTTTCAGAATAACATGGACCCCCAAGACCTCGTTCCTACCCGAGGGGGCGATCGCGGAGGCCCCGAGGCGAGGGTGCTGATCCACGAGCTCGGGTTGGAGAGGACGGGCGAGTGGCGAGGCAGGACCAGCCAGGCGATGCGAAACTGGGGGAGGAGAGAGAGGTAAAAAGCGTGAGAGAAAAATGGAAAAAATAGACTGTTTGGCTGATAAATATTAGTTATTATCATTTTGATTATAAAGAGATAAAAATCTAAAAACACCCAGTGGCGAGGCAGAACCAGCCAGGCGATGCGAAACTGGGGGAGGAGAGAGAGGTAAAAAGTGTGGGAGGAAAATGAAAAAAGTAAAACTGTTCGATGATAAATATTAGTTGTTATCATTTTGATTATAAAGAATAAAAATCTGAACTGTTAACGTTCGGATGATAAGAATTAGTCATTATCATTTCGATTATAAAGAAATAAAAGTCTAAAAACACCCAGTGGTAGTAGTTTATCATAAAAATATATAATGAATACAAACATGTTTACTCGGTTTCTTCAAGCCATCCATACACAAATGAAAACAAATGAATGAATTATAAACATAATAAAATATATACTACAACTACTGTGAAAGATAATACAACCAATACGTCCCTATAAACTGCACACATACAAAATAAAGAGAAAAATTACAATACCAGAGTAATATAATAATAATAATAATAACAATAATAATAATAATAATAACAATAATAATAATAATAACAACAACAACAACAAAACAACAACAATAATAATAATAATAACAATAATAATAATATAATAAATAAAATAAAATAAATAAAATAAAATAAAATAAATACCTGGTACTTGGTATAAGGCTTCAGATCCTCCACGATAATTTCCGTAGAGTTGACCGGGTGACTAGGCCTATAATAGACCCACTCGGGAGGCCCCTTGTTCTGCTGGTACTGCACCAGGTACTTGACGTCCTCCACCTCGGGGGCGCCGCTCCACCGGAGGCCCACGCTCGACCCACTCACGCTCCGGCCCACCAGCATGGGGGCGGGGGGTTGCCGATCAGCTCTGGGGGAGGGGGAGGGGGTGAGGGTGTGGAGGGCGGTGATCGTCGTAGTGGTTATGCAATGACAGGAATGTTTCAGAATGACGAAATATTTGTTTACTCATGCAGAAGCAAATGTCTTATTTACCTTCAGTCTGCCGTATGTAAGACTGGGCCGCGTAGACACAGCCCATCGTGCAGAACATCGTGTCTTCACTCTCCCAGCCGTGCAAAGTCTGGAAAAAAAGATGAAAATCGCAGCGTTTGAGACTAACTCCGGGTGATGGGTGAAATGAACGTGTTTTCGACCATTTATACATCATGATTTATGATAATTGTAGGAAAATAGTCTGTCATAGAAGGAAAATGACGTTTTTTTTGTCCCTGTGCACGAAATAATATCGAAATAATTTAGGAAAATGTGTAGTTCGTATACAGTCTGATAATCATATCTAAATACAGTGTATATTGTATTTCTAAAGCCATAAGGAAATGCTAATAAAAAAAAGAATAAAATTATGTAACCTGAATCTCTATAGAAAAGAAAATACGAGTACTTCATCTCTCCTTATGTCGGTGTAACAAAAGGACTTAATTTGCTTGCGTTACTAGTCACCACAGGATCGTAATGGTGAAGCAACACCGACAGACTTCGTAAAAGTGTGAAGACAACGGCGAGCGAAATAACGAAGTAATTGCTAATATTTTACTTCGGAATGACAAAGCGGTTGGAACATAAACCTAAAAGTGTGATATGAATTGATACGTTTCCTCGTATTATGATTGAAAAGAACAATAAACAAACAGCTAAGAACAGGAACATGATGATCCCTCACTCTAAATTACAGATTATTAAAATCATTATTTTCTTTGCTGAATTTGAGATCATTTAAAGTAATGTATATGCACATAGTGTATTTATGAATATAAGAGAATGCGAATTATTCAATGCATAAACAATTAAATGAATAGATAAGCAGATAATTAAATAAAAATGCATACATACATTGTACACACACACATTGAATGAAATGCATACATACACACGCACATACACACACACACACACACACACACAACAACACATACGCACGCACACACACACACACACACAACACACACACACACACACACACACATATATACATATGTATACATAGATAGATACATATATATATATATATATATATAAATATATATATATATATATATTATATACATATATACATATGTGCATATGCGTACGTGTGTGTGTGTGTGTGTGTGTGTGTGTGTGTGTGTGTGTGTGTGTGTGTGTGTGTGTGTGTGTGTGTGTGTGTGTGTGTGTGTGTGTGTGTGTGTGTGTGTGTGTGTGTGTCTGTGTGTGTGTGTTGTGCATATATGCATGTATACATATTCTCTTTTTTATTCATTCGTACATAAAATACTGCCCTGTTACTCCCATTACTTATGCTTATTCTCTGTTACTGTTACTTACGCATATCTGTTGGCAAGACGAGCGTGTCCCTTCTCTCCAGTCAAGGCAGCCATCTTTACACTGAAAGAAAAAGAAAAAGAAAATACCACATAAATTTACACAGAATACAAATGCGAGTGCAAGATGTTATTAAGAAAGAGGCTTAAGACTACACACACACACTCACAAACACACACACGCACATACACACACACACACACACACGCGCGCGCACACAACACACACACAACACACACACACACACGCACACACATACACACACACACGCACACACACACACACACGCACACGCACACACACACACACACACACACAAACTAATTTACAACAACCGCTTAGTCACCACTGGGTTGCTGATAATAATGTGTTTAGGAGTAACGGAAAGTAAATCATATAATATTAATGATAATAGTAATAGTAATAATAGTTATGATATAATGATGATGATAATGACTTTGATGATAATACTAGAAGTAGTATTGGTAGTAGTAGTAATAGCGGTAGTAGTAGTAATAATATTAAAAATAATAATGATAATGATGATGATGATGATGATGGTGATGAAGATAACAGTGAATGTACAACTGAATAAGCAATAAATAAATCACTCTCCACATTATATACTCATTAAGTTCACTATTATGTTCTCAATGTACAACTGTTCGCATTTAAACTGTTCAGGAACAACCGAGCAACAGACAACGAATTCAATTTGAAGATGCGGAGAAGAAGAAGAAGATTAAGAAGAAGAAGAAGAAGAAGAAGAAGAAGAAGAAGAAGAAGAAGAAGAAAAGAAGAAAGAAGAAGAAGAAGAAGAAGAGAGAAGAAGAAGAAGAAGATTAAGAAGAAGAGAAGAAGAAGAAGAAGAAGAAGAAAGAAGAAGAAGAAGAAGAAGAAGAAGAAGAAAGAAGAAGAAAGAAGGAAGAAAAGAAAAGACGAAAAAGAAAAAGAAACGAAATAGAGAATTTTTCCGCTAAGCTTCATCCGTTTATATCCAGACTGTTGAATTTCGATCGAGATACAACCCTAATCGATGCAGTTGAGATAATATATTCCAGAGATGACGAAAATAACATAACACGATTTAAAAACGGTTTAAATTGCTTAGTCGCCATTTTAAGCTGCTGATAATGAATACAAATTAAAGTTCAAGATACACTCGGAGTCCCTGCCGGTTGCCATACGAGAAATGGCAACTACTCCAAGCAAGGGTGGATCATTGTATCGAATTATCTGTTTTGGTTCTCTCTCTCTTTCTCTCTGTCTGTCTGGCTGGCTCTCTGCCTGTCTATTTGTCTCTCTCTCTCTCTTTCTTTATTGTTTTTTATTTTCTCTCGTTCTCTCTCTGTCTCTGTCTCTCTGCCTGCCTGTCTGTCTGTCTCTGTCTGTCTGTCTGTCTCTCTCTCTCTCTGTCTCTCACTTTCTTGTTTTCTTTCTCTCGTACCCCCCTCCCTCCCTCTCTCTCTCTTTCTCTCTCTCACTTTCTTGTTTTCTTTCTCTCGTCCCCCCTCCCTCCCTCCCTCCCTCTCTCTCTCTCTCTCTCTCTCTCTCTCTCTCTCTCTCTCTCTCTCTCTCTCTCTCTCTCTCTCTCTCTCTTTCATACCTAGGCAAGAGACGTTCTATAACATACGTCATTCTTCAGTCTTCTTATTTATTTATTTATTCTCCCAAATACCGCAGTGGCACCTCTTGTTACAAACAACTACTCCCCTTTTTTAACAAGAGCAACAATCACCCTTTTTTATAGACTCTAACAACACGTTAAGCTGTTTGGGAAATATCCCCTGAAAGACCGCATTGTAAATAGATTGAAAAAAGGTGTTTGAAATCATAATAATAATAATGAAGACCAGATTTCCCCTCACCTTCCCCGCTGAAGGTAAGAGGTGCACGGCTACCGAGGGGGGAGGGGGGGGATTGAGGGGAAAGGGGGAAGGGAGGGGGGTGCGAGGAAAAATGGAGGAGGGAAGAAAAGAAAGCTAGATGAAAAGGGAGGAGGGAGAGAAGGAGAGTGGTTGGTCTGTGGAGAAGCGGAGTGGGTAAGTATGAGGAATGAAGAAAGAGGAGGAGGAGGAGGAGGTTAAGAGACGAGTATTAGTGGGAGTAGTAGGAAGAGGAGGAGGAAGAGGAGGAAGGAGGACGTAGAGCAGGTGGAGGAGGAGGAGGAGGAGCAGGAGAAGGAAGGAGGAGGAGGAGAGCAGGAGGGAAGGAGGAGGAAGTAAAGGCAGGAGGAAGAAGCAGGTGGAAAGGAGAAGGAAGAGGAAGAAAAAGATTAAATAAAAGTGGAGGAAAAGGGTGGGAGGGAGAAGAAGGATGAAGAGAGAAAAAAAAACAGGAAAAAATACCTAATGTTAAAAAAAAGAAAAGGGAATTAGGATGAAAATCGAGAATAGAGAGAGGGAGGCAAGAGCCAAGGAGGGAGTACTGAAAGGAGGAGAGGAAAGGAGGAGAGAAGGGGGGGAGGAAGGGAGAGAGAGAGAGAGAGGAGAGGAGAGGGGGGTAGACTCGTCCTTTAGAAAATAAACTTTGGATCACAAGGAGGACATTCAGTAGACCTCTTCAGCGTGCGTGGATTATAATTATTATTTAATCAAACGGCACTTAAGAGATGAATTCAGTTAGGAATTCCCGGTAAGTTTTTTTTTTTTTTTTTTTTTTTTTTTTTTTTTTTTTTTTTTTTAGGACTCTTAAGGATCCCTTTCGTATCAAAGATGAAGAAAAACATATATATATATATATAATATATATATATATATATATATATATATATATATATATATATATATATATATCCAAACGGATTCATTATTTCGCGATAAAAAAATAAGAACTGATAATTAATTTAGCAATTTAATAAATCATAAATAGAATAAATCAATGTTTCCCATAAGGCATTTCGTCATATTTTTTTCCCGCCAGGACGCCGAGTGAACAATTTGCTCGTAGTAAAGGTTTAATGTCTATAGATAGAAGTAAATGTCATTATACTCCATCAGAAATGCCACTTGCATATGATCTCATTTCTGTTTCTCAATCGCTCTCTCTCTTTCTGCCTTTCTTTCATCTTGGTCTTTATCTCTCTCTCTCTTTCTCACTTTCTTGATTGTTTACGCTCTCTCTCTCAATCTTTCAATCTCTTTCTTTCTTTCTCTCTCTCTCTTTTTCTGTCTCTCTCTCTCCCTCTCCCCCCTCTCTCACCACCTTTTCCTCCCCTTTCTCCCACTCCTACCCTTTCCCTCTCCCACCTTTCCTCCATCCCTCCTCCCTTCCCCTCCCTCCCACTTTTCCTCCCCCCTTCACACCTTTCCCTCCCTCCCTCCCCCCTTTTCTTCCCTCCTCCCCTTCGTTCCCACCTTTCCTCCATCCCTCCTCCCTTCCCCCCCTCCCTTCCTCCCTTCCCTTTCCCTTCCCACCTTTCCTCCATCCCTCCCCTTTCCTCCCACCTTTCCTCCATCCTTCCTCCCTCCTCTATCCCTCCTCCCCTTCGTTCCCACCTTTCCTCCATCCCTCCTCCCCTCCTCCCTCCCTCCTTCCTCCCTTCACACTTCCTTCGCTCAATCCTCTCATTGGTTTTCCCGTCTCTCTCTCTCTCTCTCTCTCTCCTCCGCACTTCAACCCAAGACAAACAGGAGGACAAACAGCCCGTTCAACAGAGACACAGAAAAAGGCAGAGAACGCGAGGGTTATGAGCTGAGCGGCGAAGGAAAATTAGGGAAGCTCCTCATGAAACCCGAGAGTGGAGAGCTGTCTTCATTTTACCTTTCGTGGGGTGTCGTTAGCTGGAGGGCGGTGAGGTGCTCTGGGTCGGTTTTTGAGTTTTGAGATTTTTTTTGAGAGGTTTGGGTGTTTTTTTGAGGGGGGGTCGTCCGTTGTTTTTTTTGTTTGTTTATTTGTTTTGATTCTTAATTTGTGTGTGTGTGTTTTTACACTTGATTTGTGAGTGTTTTCTTTCTTCTCCTCTCTCTCTAGCAAACATATATATATATATATATATATATAATATATATATATATTATATATATATATATATATATATATATATATATATCAATTAGTCCCCTCTCTCTTCTCTCTCTCTCTCTCTCTCTCTCTCTCTCTCTCTCTCTCTCTCTCTCTCTCTCTCTCTCTCTCTCTCTCTCTCTCTCTCTCTCTCTCGTCTCTCTCTGTCTCTCTCTCTCTCTCCTCTCTCTCTCTCTCTCTCTCTCTTCTCTTCTGTTTCTGTTCTTTCTCATATATCTCCGCATCCTCATTCCTCAAACTCTCATTAACGTCACATGTGGAAAATGTAACACCCCCAACCTCCCCCCTATAATCCCATCCTACCTCCTACCCATTCCCGCCCACAACCCATCCCTTCAACCCTCCCCCTTACCACCCAACAACACCCCCCCCCCTCCGCAACCCTCCCCCCTTCCACCGCCACCAACACCCCCCTCCACGCCCACGCCCTTCCTCCGCAACCCTTCCTCCCCCCTCCCTACCACCAACAACCCCCCCGCCACCCTCCACAACCTTCCTCCCCATTCCAACCCCCTCCCCCCTTACCACCAACAACACCCCAACCACCCCCCACATCCACGCCCCCCACCCCCCCCCACAGCCCCGCAACCCCCTCACCCAACCCCTCCCCCCCCATTCCACCACCCCCCCCCCCTTACCACCAACAACACCCCCCCTCCCTTCCCCCACCAACACAAACTCCCCCCCTTACCACCAACAACACCCCCTCTCCTCGCCCCCCCCCGCCCGCCCCAACCCTTCCCCCCTTACCAACCAACAACACCCCATCACGCCCCCACTCCTTCCTCGACCGCCACCCCCCCCCACCACACCTTCTTCGCCTCCCTGGCCAGCGTCAGACCGTACCCTCAGTGTGGTCTGCCGGACACTTAAGGGGCGGTTACTGTTGTCCCTTAAGAGGCTCTGACGTCCGTGCGAGAGAGAGCTTTCAGTGAGGGGGTTGAGGGCGTGTGCGTGTGTGTGTGTGTGTGTGTGTGCGGGCGCGTGTGTGTGTGTGTATGCATATATACACATAGACACACACACACACACACACACACACA